TGGGCATGCCTTCATCTGACTCTGCGTAAGAGTTGATGAATGCACCTTATCAACTCCTCGCTGCCGTACTTGAATAGCTCGGCTGACAGGCCGTCAGCTGCAGCAAATTTTGTAGTTTTTCAGCCGCGAAATCGTTACTGGTACCTCGTCACAGTCAGACGGTGGGACAGCGGCTCCACTATCATCAACTGGGGGCCCGGGTGGAAAAGTTTTCCTACCATACTTTAAGTACGTTCTGGGCAGCGGTCTCTAGGTCGACATGGTTGGTCGTACAGGAGTTCGCCCTGCTCTTGAAACCCTTAGTAAGTCGGCGAACTCTCTGATAAAATTTTCAGGCGTTTTTCCTGTCGGCCAGCATTTCAAGCTATTCGCATACACTTATTTCGGCACCTCCCTTCTTAATGCAGCAAATACGTCTGGCCTCCCTCTTCAGCTCCCTTTTACAGACCCACATGGCTCACGTTGCGCCCGACCGTAGCGTAGCCTTGTAGGCGGCATCTTTTTTTCTTCTTGACACTCCTCATCGTCCTACGACTACTTCTTCGGCGGCGGTACTTAATGAGCAGTAAATGTGATGCCACTGCTCGCGTATGTCAGTTTGTTGAATAACGCTCTCAGATAGCAGGTGTGAGAGTCGAGGGGCGAATAAATTGGTGGTCTGTTGTGATGGCAGCTTTTTGACGTTGGCCGCACTTTTTCTGCTGTACGGAGGCGGGTTCGTATCGTGGCTACAACAAGAAAGTGGTCCGAGTCGATGTTTGGCCCTCAGAGTGTGAGTTCGTCCAAAACACTGGCAGCTTGCCATCCGTCTATCACAACATGATCGATTTGGTCTCTTGTTTTTCGATTTGGAGACAGCCAAGTTGCTTGATGGATCTTTTTATGCTTAAATCTAGTACTGTATATTACCATGTTTCGGGTCCCGGCTAAGTCGATCAGCCTCAGTCCGTTATTGGACGTTTAGTGGTTGAGGCTGGATTTTCCGAAAGTGGCGCCAAAGATTCCTTCCTTGCCCCCGTTGGCATTGAAATCGCCAAGCATGATTTTTATATTGTGTCGGGGGCAGCGCCCATATGTTCGTTCCAAACACTCATAAAAGAGAGCCTTGGACGCCTCGTCCTTTTCTTACGTCGGAGCATGGGTACAAATGAGCGAGTTGTTGAAGAATCTCGCCTTGATGCGGGATTGTGGCTAGACGTTGGTCCAACGGAGTGAACGCCAGTACTCAGCGTCGGAGTCTCTCTACCACCACAAATCCAATATAGAGTTTGCGCCTCGTTGGGCGGTGAGTTAACGTGCCGGGTCCCAAACTCAGCGCACGCGAAGTTTACGCTTTCTCAATTTAGCTCGCTTCCAAACGGTGGTGTGGGCGCTACCTAGAGGATACGTGGATATAAATATCCGGACGTTGTGAGCTGCGATTTGAGGCGTACGTACAAGGATCACTACTGGCCACTCTCACTTACGTGGACATCTGCGCACGGAACCATCCTACGGAATGTTACTAATATCTGAAAGTAATTTAGATATACACCTTACTATTCCCAAAATTAAATGCAAAGAATTAGAGACTTTAATTCGTCGATTAGTAAGTTAATGGAATAGAAAATTACCTTAGCTCACACATCCACAGAATCTGTAATTAACAGAATATCTACAAATGTGTAAGCAAACACTACGGCATCTACTGCATCGCTTTCGATGCCCCTAATCACCACTAACCCATGGCGAGGTTCGATTACTGCAACATTATGTTGCACGCAAATTACAACATATAAATACATACATATATGCAATATACATGCATAGACACTTCCATTTGTGTATCTGTTTCTAGAGGCAAGCTTCAATATAAAACCACCTGCATACACGCGTACCCAGCAAAAAACACGATTACCACAAAAATTAAAGTGGAATGGAACTAGGCGATGGGAATCGCTTACCTTTTCGCTTCAAAAAGGCATTACCTTATCGGCAGCATTACCTTTGAACGAAGGGAGAACACCTTACATTAGAAAGAAGCGAATGAAAGATGCATGGATATATAGAATCCAGAGAAGCCTTTGTTCGCTTCCTTACAGAGAAACTAATGTAAAATGCCTAGATATTTACATAACACCCAGAAAAAAGTCAGCTAAATACATTTCTCTCAACACATAATTTGGTTATAGTTTCATTATTTGGTTAAAGTTGCCAAATCATGTGTTGAGAGAAATATTTTTAACTGGCTGTTTTCTGGGTATATTAAATTGAAAACAGAAAATATTGATTGTCTTAAAAGATTAAAATTAATTCATTTGCAATTAAAATTTGAATAAATCATTTTTTATACATGTATGCATTCTAGAACACTTTGCCACTAAAAGCGATTACCGATTTTTTGCTGGGTACCACCACGCATTAATCTGGCACTTAAATGCATGCATACATATATACATTAGGCATATGACTTTTTCTTAAACAAAAAATAAATAATTTATGAGAAGAGGACGAAGAATGATAAAAACCCAACAATAAACATAAATCCCGAGTTGGAATTTTCTATATAGAGTGACTGAAATAAATGACCACGTGTTGAACTATTTGTAATTTTTTTGTTATTTTCTTTAAAAATACCGTCAAAGTTTTAACCAAAAACATATACATAAATCACAGTTTCTAACTTTATTATACAAAATTAACGAATATTAAAAAAATTTTCATCAAAATTCCAACATTTAATCTGACTATTTTTGGGTATGCAGTTTTATAGCCCTTTCAGTTTTAGTGCAATGACGTGAAAGTTTCAAACGGCTAAAAAATCTTGTTGATTCGTAAGATTTTTTTTACGGAATTTTGCACTTTTTCCATTTAAGCATGAATTTCTTATGAAATAAAATGCGGGAGACGGTTAACAAAAAAATTTCCAAAAATCAACGCCTGTTTTTGTAAGAAGCAGTCTGTAAAAAAAAAAATCCTTAAAAATCATCGCAATTTTTTAGCCGGTTAAAACTTACACTTCATTATAATAAAATTGTATGGGCTATAATAAGGCATACCCAAAAATGTTCTCAAGATTCAGATTAAAAAGTTGAAGTTTTGATGAAAATTTGGTGAATTTTCCAAAATTTTATGCACCGTTTGAAACCGTGATTTATTGTTTTTTGGTTAAAGCTTGAACAGTATTTTTATAGAAAAATAACCACAACAAAAATTTAGCTCGAAAAACATTACAAAAAAAAAACAACACGTAGTCGTTTGTTTGACTCACTGTATATATCTGTGGTCACAAGGCAACACAGCTTAAGTCGGGAGGTTGGCTTTAGTTAATGTGCCACTCTCGACGATAGTACTCGACGTACTATTTCGTGCGGCGAACTAGATATTGAAAAACGTTATTTTTGTTGGGCGCTCAGCATTCCTCATACTCTCCTTATAAGTACATATATTTAATTTTAGAAAAAAAGACATATACCTAATGTACACATATACACACCATGCGAGCAGCTGACCACAAAGCAAATCGCTGGCAACCACATTGCTTTGCTTGCTACCAGTTGTGGTACGTACCGGTTGTGGGTTGGTCGAATCGCCATGCGGGGGCATTATGTTGGGGGAAACGATTTATTTTCAAGTAAGGTAATATTCGTTGCAAATGCATCTATCCATTCGCAGGCTAATGCATAAATATATGTACATAAGTAGTACATATCGACGGCTGAGTGGAAGAACGATCGCCCATCTCAGCAAACGGTTGAAAAACAACCTATTTCAGAATTTTGTTGAAGAATGCACTATCTCCGAATTTGGTTCAAAAACGCTCTTTCTCAATATAAATTTAATAAGTCGGCTGCTGTGATAGGAAGTTTTTTGAACCGTTTGCTGAGATAGAAAGTTTTCTAACCGGCTGCCCAGATAGCGCGATGTTCACCTCAGCCATGGAGCTCAAGGAATTCAACAATGATTCGATAGACACCTTCGTTAAATGTACTAAAAGTGGACAGCATTGACTGTGCTTATGTACGTGGAGGGATTTATAGTACAAAGTATATATACACTCAAAGTACAGTCCCGTTTTCTTAAGGTGCTGTCCTTTGGTTTTTTTCTAAAAAATCTATTTTGTGCTTACTTTTAAAACGTGATCTTTGAAAGTGCTTGATTAGCTTCTTTCCTTGCCAGATTGTTCGTAATGTTGTGAAATATGTCTCTGCTCGGAAACCCAGACTACATTCTCTGTGCATCGCGTTGGCAAATCTGTTACAACTATTCTGCGTTGATTAAATCGCAGGTTGGTTGTAGGAATAGAGAGACGGTGATTGAGTACAGGTAGGCTTATACACGTAAATATGTATTTACCTATTCCGAATGAAAATTATTCTCGATTTTATTATTCAGTTTAGAGCCATCGCTGAAGATTCAAATGAAAACAACAGGGATTCTTATGGTAAACTTATTACCAAAGCATAACCGAGGAGTAGTATAATCTAGATTTAGTATCTAGAGTTTTATCACAAGAAGGACCGAGAGAGTTTCAGCAGCTTTGCCGGGGTGGAAGGAAAAACCACCCTCTACAATTTGCTTTTCAACGTGGTTTTGTCCAGCGTCTGTGTCTATACAGTAAGTCCGAAGAAAATAATACTTAAAATAATAAAACAAATTGTCGAACTTACTACTGTGTATGGAAAATCTGGGTGATAGCGTCAGCAAAAAAAAAAATTTCAGAAATTAACAGTAATTGCTGCCTGCTTCAGACTTGCTCTTTAATATGCGAAAATTAAATAGGCTACAAAACTGCATACCTTATTAAAATGTTTAAAATTTTGATGAAACTATGTCGAATGTCCTAATTTGGGTACAAACATTGAATTACCGGAATTTTGTAGTTAGTGAGCTATACGTCCATAAAAAAAAAATAGTAAAAAATAAAAAAAATAAATAAAATAAAAATTGCCAAAACCTTCTAAAATATCGCATTCATATTTATTTTTCCACCACTGTATATTAAAGCGCCCATCTCAAGCTTACTTCGCTTTCATAATTACAGCGAAAAGCGAATATGCACCCTTTAGAGTCGAGAAAAAGGTATCAAGATGTATTCTTATCATGCCACCAGCCATAGCGGTGGTTTCCTTCAACGCACGTTCGGTAAATAAAATCATTTCTCTCTTAAAGCGTCGTGTTTGATCGGGCCAATTACATCGAAATACTTCGTACTGCAGCTGACCGAAAAGTTGCTGCAAGCTGCTGCCATAATAGCAGATGGGAAAGATTTGAAGTGGCATAGCCAGGAAGTAGGTCAGATAGTAGAGCCGCTCGAGCGGCGTATCTATGTAGAACAGTAGTACAATCATGGCTACACAAATGTTAAAAGCTGTTACGGTGAACTGAATCAGCATCGGCAAAGAGATCACTTCTTGCAGTAAATCGAATAGCCTGAAATTAGTGAGAAAATCAGCGAGCTCACTGATATGAGAACATTTTCCATTTCCATTACCTGTAAAGATTTTTCTGGTCCTTAATGCACTGCACCAGTTCCTTTTCATGCTCTTCCACGTCGGCAGCGTCATAACCAATACGCGCAATTCGCATGCCCAGTAACTTTATATGCCCCGCGAGCAGACAACTGGTTATGGGTGGAAATGAGTCGTCAACAAAATTTTGCAACAACTGATAGAATATACCAACAATTTGATATATATTCGCCGCGAAGAAATTTCGTTTGGATGCGCGCCAATCGAACGGAAACCGAGCCGGATACAGCAGACTGCGCTCCTCGCGCAACAGGAACGCCAACTCAGCCGTCACACCGACCGCAGCATAGAGACACAAAAAGAGGTACAAAATATTTCGTACGCTCCTGCGCATAGTAGTAAAATAGTATTTGCGTTCCAACTCGCTCTGCACTCGAGCATCCAATGCCGCAAAGGTTTGCTCAATCGCGCGCACAATCCGTAACTTCCGCGTATAGATGACAAATTTCAAGCTGCAAGCGATACAGGTGACACACACAGCTAGATTTTTGATATCACCAGCAAGTGAGCTGTTGCGAAAAAGTGCCAAAGCCAGGTGTAGCGGATAGCAGACGGTAACCAAAATGCTCACTACAAAAGCGTATAGCAAGTAGGGTGTGCGGTAATGGTGGGCGGGTAGTGGTGGATGGCCACCACAAATACGAAAACCGATCCAATGGATCCTGAAAAAGGCGTTGCTGTCCACTGACTGGCTCATAGTTTACCTACTGATTTTTGGTGCACACTTGAAATTGGAATAAATTTAAAGTGATTCTCGCCGAATATTTATAGTAAAAGTAAAAGTAGTGGAAAATCAACAACAGACCTTGCGTGATTGCAAATTGATTGACCATTTAATTACTTAATTTCCTAATTGATGTTGCGTCTAGTCATTAATTAAGCAATTACTCAAATTTACACTTATCCAATGGAAATTAGGTAAACGCTTTCAGCGGTTGCCTTGGTGGCCTTCGGATACAGTAGCTCCTTAATTAAAAACTGCAGCGTAGGATATGAGTGTACTGCATACATTAATGCTAGTGTCTGACCGAGGCTAGTATTTTGGCCGGAGCCGAGGCCGAAGCCGAAGCCGAATATTAGGTACTATTTAATGAAATGCGTTGCAGAAGACGGGAACATCCTCTAAAGGAAATTATAACCGAACTGACAGTAATATCCATGGATGTAGCCTAGTCAAACCAGATGTATTGAGATGACATGATTAATGGCAGCTAATTATAATTTAGCTAAAAGCCAAGTAACTAACAAATATCTTAACGAAATGGACAAGACATGGCGTCCACAAATCATCTGCCTTCAAGTGTACTGCGCTATTGGGAGAAACTAACTATATAAATACATTAAATTTGTCCATTTGCTCATTTCTATACTTTTATCGGAACAGCGTTAACATAAATCTAAAAATTTGACAGTTAATTTATGTCGCATCGCATTTTAATACAACATTGCATTTATCCTCAATTTCTTCCGCATGTGTGACCTCAATCGGGTAGAAAGTCGGATGCAAATGAATTTTAGTGGAAATGCGCTATTATTTATATGGCTCATATAGAGATTTTTTAAGCTAAAAAGGGCACACAAAACCCGTATTTATTTAGATATATGAATGTGTAACGTATACGCCTCGTATTACATAAGGTTGCCCATAAACAGTCAGCTAGCTGACATTTACTCGCACGCCTTAACAATTTGCACTACTTATTTTAATATGAAAGCATATCCGGCATAAGCACAGTGACAATCGTAGTAACAGCAATACGAGTATATGGGGGAAAGTGAAAATAAATGCAGATTAGATGCAAAAAAAAGGACAGGAAATGAAAATGTCTACAATAAGCGTCCATAGGAAAGTTCAAATGGGTGAAAGTGCTTATCCGGATTTAGACAAATGAAACAATATGCGAACGAGAAAGAAAAAGCGGAATGAGTTTGAGATAGTATGTGTAAGAATGGTGGTGGCGGAAGAGTGTTTGTGTAAATTATGACGTTGATTGGCAAAGGAAGAGAAGATTTAACGCACGATAGGGAAAACAAATTTATTTTGGACGCGAGGTAAGAGTGAAAGGAGAAAATACATATTTGCCAAGAGCAGTTAAATATTCACATGGTTACTTAATCATATTAGCAGATGTGTAAATGACTTCGTTTGTATGGAATTAAGACACGTATGCATTCATTATTGTTGAGGAGGGATTAACAGCCAATATATCATAAAACACGTATCGCCTATTAATGTTACACATAAAATGAATTTTATGAAAAACAAGAAAAAAGTCTAATTTCGGACGAAGGCGAACATTAAATAACCGGCGCACGTCTTAAATATAATTGTTTGCCATTTTTCCGAAAACTATCGTTACATGGTAAGCACGGGTGGTTTTACCCCTATTTTCTTCGATAGCATAATATTAAAAAACAAGTAAAAAAGTCTAAGTTCGGGCGGAGCCGAACATTAAATACCCGGCGCAATTATTAAATATATGTTTTTTCACCTTTCCGAAACCTACCGCTACATGGTAAGCCGGGGTGTATCAATTTTGAGTAAATAAGCGTCCTTAAATTTCGAAATATTGAAGTTTCAAGCATTTCTGAAATTTACCGTTATATGAAAAGAAATTTACCATTAACGTATTTCTTGGTAAAGAATTGTTGCAAGCATCAATTTTGAATAAATTAGCTTCAATATTTGCTGATTTATCGAAGATTTTGTATTTTCCTAAATTACCGTTATATGGGATGTGGGCGTGGTTATCGTCCGATTTTAAAAATTTTCGGCGATTTTTTATGCTGTACCAAGGCCAACAACTGTGCTAAGTTTGGAAGAAATTAGTGTAGCGGTTACCGAGATATACACATGTACCCATAAGTGGGCGTGGCTACACCCATTTTCCAAAAATTTATAATATTCTTATTTTTCGTCTGAAAATTATTGTAAATTCCAATTTTGAAGGAATTATATTCAGTAGTTACTAAAATATCGCAGTTTTCGTATTTCTGGAAATTACCGTTATATGGGAAGTGGGCGTGGTTACAGTCCGATTTCGCCTCAATACCAACCTACCTTGGATTAAGGGAAACCTACATACCAAATTTCGTTGAGATATCTCAATTTTTGCTCGAGTTATCGTGTACACGGACGGACGAACAGACGGACAGACGGACGGACGGACAGACGGACGGACAGACAGACATGGCTTAATCGATTTCTTTTTTCATCCTGATCATTTATGTATACATTTGTCTATATCTATCTCGATTCGTTTTGGCTGTGACAAACAACCGTTATGTGAACAAAATTAATATACCCTTGTGCACAAGTGCGCTCGGGTATAAAAAAAAAAAAATTTTTTCAAAATAGTGTTCCTATAAAGTCTTTCATTTCAGTCTTTAAATTTAAAATTTTCTGGCATGTCCTAAATATTATTGTGTATCATGATTCAATAATGAAAGGTTTTGTAAGAAAAACTTTCTCTCGCTCTAATTTTATCAATGACACTCCCACCCTACTCCTAAAAACAAAAACAGTGATATTTCTTTTCCAAATATCTTTGCAAGTTTTAAGAACATTTTTAAATTGTTAGTAGTGAAATTTTTACTTTTTAAATTTGAAGAAATGTTTGTTCTTCATTCGCTGGCGCCAACAAGACAAAATGGGTGAGCATCGTTGGACTACAGAAATTCAATGTAGGCTAAAGAGACGAAATTCTCTTAAATGCCGAAATATATTTGTCGATATTCGTGGAGACCTCTTGATTCTGCCAAGTCGCTGTAAAGTAAAGCATGCAATGGTTTTGGTAAATGAGCCAACGAAGGTATTTAGGTATTGTCCTCCACAACACACTCCTGGTGTCTCCGAATGAGGCTTTGACGCAATATAATATTGCCAAACCGCATCCATAGGCCCAATCGTCACACGACAGCTCGGTTTAGTCAATGGCGCGATGTATGTAATTGCACACTTAAAAGGTTTACGCACGAGGCGAATGTTGGCTGGCGACCAACTTTGTTGAAAGCGATTAGTTGAAAGTAGAATGCAAAGTTGAACAATGCAAACGCCTTTTTATGGCGAATATTTTTATATTTTTTTATATTTGGATATTTTTAATCATTCAAATTTTCGGGCAACCCGGCGAATGGTTAATATTCTGACAGTTGTATAGTCTCCCCAGAATATTGAAAGTGCGACATCAAAGAATTCGAATTACCATATTCGAAACAATCGAGCCATATCCGCGAAGGAAACGTAAGCTCCAAATTTTTTTATTTGGCTTTTTTTTTTGGCTTTTTTTTTTGTTTAATAAATACTGCATATTTTCCACAAACAAATAGCTTCTTCATATCCATCATCTGTCAAACAAATACAACAAAAAAAAAAAGCTGAAAGTGGACCATCCATTCTCGAGTTATGCGCCATCTGACGTACGCAAGTTTGGTATATACATAGAAATATTTATTTTCAATAACAATCGGGGGTTATATTCGATGTAAATAAGCTTGTTTAAATTAAATAATTAAATCAAATTCGTTTTTGTTTTAAAATACCACCATTCACTATTATCCACACCTTTTTATGGAATTTAGCTCCCATTTTAGGAAGTGTGATTGAATTCTTCCCCTTTTTCCCTGCTTCCATAAACCATCCCTGTGGGTGGGAGTGCCAAATTTTAGAAAAAAGCTACTTACAAAACCTTTAATAATTGAATCATGATTGTGTATCATTATTTGGCTCAAAATTTATGGAAGTAAAAAAAGTGGTTTTCAAATATATAAGAACAATATGTATATATGTCGTTGTTGACTTCCATTCCTACAACTTCTGGCTCAGAGAAAGCCTAAGTTACTCTCACAAAAGTGCTCTCAGATATAGCATTATTGACTGCTGGAACGCTTTTTCTGTAACTTCTGTAATTACACAGCCACAAAAAAAATCCGAATATAGTGTTGAGTTGTGAATAGTACTTGAGTCCTTTGACAGCCAATAATATGCTTTTAATTACTTATCTACTTATGGTCATATAACCTGCTTGAAATGATTTGAGAATAAATTTTGTAAAATATTTACAGAAATGTGCGTCGCTGACCGTTTATCCTATGTCCCAAAGCTACCGCTACGGCCCATATTCCCACATTCTATTAGCATTTAGAGAATTGCAAAGCCGCTGCCCATTGCTTGTTTGCTGAATCAACAACGTCATTCCCATTATAATCCTCTTAGGCATAAGCCGGATGAATACACTAGCCGCACATAAATAGAAGCCACATATTGCCATTCATTATTTCATAGTAGAGTAAGTGGAACATTTTTCAAACGCTTGCAGAGTTGACTGTTTCGTTGTAGCAATGAATGCAATTCCAACGGCACTCTTGACACAATCGATACAAAATCCGCTACGTTGATATTACAGAGAACATATTTGTAATGATATTTATCAGAATAGACGGCAAAGAAAAGTTTTTATACAGTCACTGTTAAGAGCTGCAAGCTCAAAAAGTATACGGCTTCGTTTATTTAGGAACCAGCATTAAGCGAGCCACAGACAGGCAACAGATCACAGCAATCGGTTGCAACGCGGTTCGCTACACACCAGTGGATCGGTTGACAATTTACATTTTACGTTATTCCTCGGCATGTAAACATGTGCGCAAAAAGGACAACAACTGTATTATGTATATACATGTAAGCGCTAGGGTCTTTCGCCGAAGGTAATTCATTAGCTTCATGAAACTTTAACTAAGCCAATTTTATTATATGCGTTACTCGTCTGGTGGAACGCACTTCATAGTCAATCAGCTGGAAGAGGTACAAAAAAGAGCCGCCTTAATTAGAACCAGTGGGGCACCTACTCAGGCGATCAATGCCATGTTACATGTTAAATAATGTGCCTATATATACATATATATCTGGCAGGTCTGCAGCAGCTCGCGCCGCAGTAAGGCTAAGGAGCTTTAAGTTCCAGTATTCTAAAAAGGCTTCGGCTTCTCACCGAATTGAACATACCACTTCAGGGCGGTTCTTTCACCAGCCACATTCCAGCTTTAGCGTGGTCATTTAAACTTATTCATAGATGGATCGAAGCTGAGTGGAACGGTAGGTGGAGGTGTGTGCAGCGAGTAACTCTCCAACAGCCTGAAATTTAGGTTACCGGTTGACTACAGCCTCTTCCAAGCAGAGATGACCGCAATAAAAGAGGCTTGAAATTGGCTGCTTTCTAGTGCAACCCCTTTTAATAAGGTAAATATTAATTAATAGTGTCTGACTTCCTTATCGACCACATCGGCTTACTGTTAAGCATTTTTGGGTTCCAGGTCACAGCGAAATCGCTGGAAACTGAGGTTTGAGGAATGCACTGCGACCACTAGTTCTATTGTGCTCTCTTGCTGTTCCCAACACCTCGGTCAATCCGAACTCCCTCGAGAGGTGCAGTATGTTGTTTGGTGATATCGAGTGCATGTAATTCGACTGTGGGTTTAGTGACCCAATGTACTTGGCCATGTTCTCGCCACTACATCTTATTCGGGGAGTATGTGCCCCAACTTTCAGCTGCCCTGTCGCAGAAGCAGCTCGAATCATTAGACTAGTTCCCGAGTTTGTTACTATTTGTTTATGGCTTCGTTAATAAGTAGTCTCACCGGAAGCGGGTTGGTTTGTTTAAGCATCCTTTGAACTGGAAGTCCATTGCAAAAAAGAAAATATTTCCAGCAAAAATTACGTATTTTTGTTCACAGAAACCGGAGCTGTGGTAAAAACATGTAGGTTCTATTATTATTCTTATAAAATGGACTTCCGGTCAGTGCAACCCACGAAACCGGAAGTCGGTAATACGACTAAAAGATGGAGCATCCCCTATTTGGTGATTCATATTTTTTCTTTTTCCAATAAAAACGCTTTTGTTCATTTTAGAAGTCCAGGATGAGTTGAAGTTCGAAAGTCATAAAGGGGTTGAAAAAGGCATATCCGATTTTGTAGATCATATTTTTGCGTTTTTCAATAAAAAAAACATTTTCCTCCCGTTTAGAGGGGATTGGCGGGAGGTCTAGGACACCCTGTATATAACATTTTACGTAATATAATACTCCAAGCAATCCCCTGATAACTTTTCCTTATCTAACCTAAAACTTTCCAAACCTGAGATTTGGTTTTGATTTTTTCACACTTCCCTTTCTTTGACACGTGACAATTGCAGAAAATGTTAACATAATTAAATTGCCTATAAAGTTAATAATACCACTTTTGAATTGATGAATTAAATTAATTACACAAAACTAAACGTCCTTTAAATATTCAACGGCGTTCAAGTTAAGCTATACTCGTAAATACATACTATGTGCATATGTATGTACATATGTACATTCGTATGTGTGTATGAAGCTTCTTAGTACTTTTATCAAACTTAATTTTATATGTATGTACCTAGGAAATTGTACAATATCCTTTCGCGAATAATACCACCAATTAAATTTGAGAATAATGACATGAGGTGCGAACGCTTCATCTATAATATGTACCCAAGTACATTAGGGCGGGTCAATTTGTATGGGAGATTTTTTTCGACTATGACCGTTTAGCACAGAGTCCGTGTAATTCTAAGCAAACTTGCCGAAGAAACCGTGGGTGTAAAATCAATTTGGAGTTTGCCAAATTGCGAAAATAGGTTTCTTAGCATTTCGCCGTGGTGTCGTAAAAAAGTGCTCAAATTTTGTATACAAATATGCCATAAGGGATTTTTTGATAAGATGAATCTATTTCTTCATTAATATTTTTCTTAAAACTTCCACCAGAGGTCGCAGTAATAAAAATTTTCACATTTTCTTCTAAACCTATTTTCGCAATTTGGCAAACTCCAAATTGATTTTAGGTCCATGGATTCTTCGGAAAATTGTATTAGTATTACACGTAAAGGCGCATGGTGAAAAAAAATTACTTACCCTAATGTACATATAGTATATGGCAATACTATTAGAGAGCTGCATGGATGCTTTTGAAAGTATCTTTAAAAACACTTACTCACTTTTAATGTTTTTTCCCCACATTTTATTCTCCAAAAAAACTAAGACTGCTAAGGGCAGCTTAAGTCTGCCAGACTGACAAAAAAGTGTTTATGAGGATAAAGTTGCCAGAGTCTCGTTAGTTTCCGACAGTGGCACATACTTGCTTCATTCCATTAGGTAATGTCCTGTTACCAACAATCACCCTTAGTTGACAGCATTCAATGAGAATGAGGACGCTGGACCGATCCTTGTCGAGGCTGCGCCAGATTTAACGTGCTACCTCACATGTTGTTTCGCTGCACTACTTTCTGTTCGCCAGTTCGACAAAGCAGGCTTTATGCAACAGTTGGCAGGATGTGCCAGTCCCCGTATTTTATTCTGCCTCACAATTACCTGGTACATCTCTGTGTCCAGGGAACCCAAATCATACGTATGGTGTACCTGGATTACACATCGCTGAGAACTTTTCTGCATTCGATAGCGGTTTTTTTAGAGTTAACTTTTTAACTTTGAAAAAAAAAATCCAAATTCTAGATAAAATTTTTGTAAACATCGTTGTTAAATTTAATTTCTTTAAAGATAGAGTTTGGAACAAATCAAATGTTTTACATTTCTAAAATTCGTTTCTTTAAAATACACCGTGAAAATATTAAGCTCAATTAGAGAAATGCACAAAAAAAATTCCCAAAAATTAGTATATGTATCTATTTGTTTTCATTACAATATATTCAAAAATAAACTAGAAAAATCCGGGAAATTTTGAAATTCAGAACTTGCGACCTTTCGAAAAAATGTGTCCCCTTTGACAGAACTTCGTTATAAATATGATTAAAGAAAAGTGTTGACCAAAAATTCATCAAAATCAAAAAAGGGTCGAATCCAACTATTGGTCAATTTGACATGGATTTACCCTGATATTTTAAGGACCATCCTCCCTTAGATCGGTGGTGGGCACCGGCCTTACGCGGGCAAAACTCTTTCAAGCTTTGTATACATTTAGTAAGGAAAGCTTGAAAGAGCTTTGGCCGCAGGGAAGCTGATTAACGTCCACCACCGCTATAGTTATATGCACATATATATGTATGTTATACTGTAGTACAAAAGTACACCGGCAAAACAAAAGCACCTATGCAGGCCTATATTTCATCGCATTAGTGTGCTAAAAATAAAATATATTTAATTGGATCTAATATAAAATAATAAATAATAAACTGTTTCTCATAATTTATTATGTAAGGACGAAGACAACACCTTCATTTCCCACAAAAGATAACATGTCAATATGTAAACCGTCCGTTTCCACGTTGCATTAAATTCGCTAGTTTCGCTAGTCAAACGAAATGAATCGGTCGCCTGTGAATAGTCGCTATTTCTTTCGTATACACTGGCGCTACTGGCTTATGCTGGGCTGCGTTCGTCAGCCGGTGCTACGCTATCAGCTACTCTATTCCTTGTACAGTATCTGCATCAATCTAATCATCATTGTGCTCTATCCAGGCATTGTATTTCTTTCGCTTTTCAACAGCACCAACTTAACCGATATACTTCAAGTGCTGCCCCTTTGCGCCGGTGCATTCACCGCAAGTTTCAAATACATAAGCTACTACAAAAAGCTTGGATTGGTGCGGGAGTTAGAACAAGTTTTAAGTAATTTGGATGCGCGCATACAGCTCGCTGAAGATCGCAAGTACTTCGCGGACATTCAACGACGCACCGACTTCATCATGAATGCATCACGTGGCATGTGCACGTTTTTCTTCGCAGTTACATTAATTTCGTTCGCAGCGTCAATTGGTGAGCGTCGTTTGGCCTTTGAAATCGCATTGCCTTTCTTCGATTACCGCGCATCGACCACAGCCTATATTGCGGCGGTGGGTATTGAACTGGGGCTACTAGTATTTGATCTGTTGCAGGCTTTAGTGAATGACACATTTCCGGCGGTTGCTTTATGTGTGCTATCGGATCATACGCATTTGTTGGGCGAACGGCTGGCTAGAATTGGACACAGCAGTGAAGATGTACGGGCGAATATCGCAGAATTGCAGCGCTGTATTATTGATCATCAATACCTGTATAGGTAGCGAAAACTCTGTTTTTTAATATTTCACATGTTATGTAGTATAAAACTCATACGTAAGACTTACTACTTTTCTTTGAATATTTAGATTGAGCGCAATGGTACAAGAAATCATATCCATTCCGGTGTTTCTTCAATATTCTGTAACTGCCATTCAGGACGGCTTTGTTTTGATAACTTTCGTTTTCTTCGCGAATACTGCATCGGATAAGCTATTGTTTTTCCTTTACTTGGTCGCGGTGCAACTGCAAATATTTCCCACTTGCTACTATGGCACGGTCTTCACCAACTCGATGGATGATTTACAACATCGGATTTATAGCAGCAATTGGATGGAACAAAATCAGACATATCGACGTCTAATGTGCATTTTCACCGAGCGCAACTTAAAAAGTATGGTACCTTATGCTGCTGGGCTGATTCCAATACATTTGAGCGCCTTTTTGACAACAATTCAGGGTGCCTATTCCTTTTATACCTTTGTCGAGGGTGTAAGAAAGTGAAGATGGTTGTGGCTGGTGTAACGAAATCAAATTACTTTTTTTGCAAATTTTGTTGTGAGCAATAATATTTCCGATAAAAATTAGAAGGGTTGAGAGGGGGCCTTGTGGTTTCAAATTATATTTCTTTTCGAAGGGCACCCTTCGGACTTTTGTACTTTTAAAAGACCGTTGTCATGTTGTACAATCTACAGTTATTCAATAAATATCAAATTATGGGATATGGCACCGGCATCACATTACGGTATTCCCCTCTTAATTGACCCTTGGTTAATTGGTTTCCCCGCATAATTGATTAAAAATATGTGCTATCGGAATGAGATATACCTTCAATATCTCCCCCAGCCCCCCTATTAATTGATTCCCTGGTTAACTGAACCAAAAAGGGTGCCTTTTTTAGTTTAATTAAGCGGGGAATACTGTAATACGAATTTTTCCATAAATAACTGCGAGGAAATTTTTCGTTCCGACACAAAGAGCGAGCACCATAACTACAGATTGATGGCCCGAAAGAGGTAATTATTCCTACCATTTTGCCACGAGCTTTATTCATAAACAATTTCCACCAGAAACAGTTTCGAATATCAATTTTGTAACAAAAAGCGAAAAATATCGGACTTTTAATGTTTCGAGCTAAAGAAAAACAAACAAGTACGATCTCAACATACTTAAATGTAAATGAAAAATAAAATAAAATATTTTTAAAGTAGAAAATACCCGCTAAACTAGGCATTTTATTCAGAAGCAAATTTGTGCCAGTAAATATCGAAAACACTTCTGAAAGGTTGCAAAAAAACCCAAAAAGTCCGATAGAAATCCTGTACTTTGTCGAAAAAATTTCAAAAATTTTAGAAATATCCTGAAAATTACTCGAACGAAAACAAAAGGTTTCCAATAAACTACGCAAACTTCCAAAATAAAATAAAAAGCAACATTAATATTAAAATGTACCGTAAAGTACTCAAAGCCACGAAAAACCCCGAAATATTCTGGAAACCCCTTCAGAAATTTCTACAGATCCCGAAAAGTTATCAAAAAAAAAAAACAAATAAAAGCTAAAAACCCGAGAAACAAATCCCGAGATATTCAGAAACATTTTCGAGACATTTCGAAAAATTTTGAAAAATCACGAATAAGTGTCGAAGCAAATGAAGTGGTTGTAAAAAAATCGGAAAATCATAAAAACCCACTGAATGTGTGCTTATAGAATTTTGAAAAATCTCAAAAAGCTCCAAAAAATTAATATTTCTCTTATTTTTGTTACTTCGAATAAGAAACAGAAAATCGATGCAAACATGAAATATTTAGAAAATCTCTCAAAATAATCAAAAACAAAAGTCTAATATAGTAGATAAACATATATTTATGCATCTTATTAATACCTAAAATTTTAAGGCAAAACTTTGCTTTTTGCCTCGCAAAAACTTCACAAATCATGCAAATTCTCTAAAAAAATCCGAATACTCCCGAATAAATACCACATAGGCCGAAATAAATTCCAAGGAGGCTCGAATAAGGCACGAAAATCAAAAAAAAAAATCAGAAAATCTCGAAAA